AGCTTAAAAGGGAAGTATCTGACATTTGCTGTGAAAACATTTCTCAGAAGCCATTTAATAAAAAATTCTTCAAAGATTAAAGGACAATAAATATATAGACAAAGTTCTAGTAGGAGCAGAACTGGGCAAAAAGAAAATCGTTTAAATCATATTCTGAAAGATAAAATTAGTTTTTCCAGCAAGAAGGAGATGTTTTTATTACCAGACTTCACCACACATTCATAGAGTTATAAAGGCCATAGACAAACAACCTGCATTTTGTACCCTGCCTCCATCTTATTTAGGGTTGTATTGATTTTATTTCATAAAAATTCATTGAAATGGGTGATGGAGGCAGATGCCAAGCCTGACTTCTTTGTGCATGATATGTCTATTATTAATAAATTAGTTGGAGATACACATAAGAAGACAAATGGTATTGCAAAATCTGGCAAGCAGAAAGTACTAGTTAATAAATACATGACAAGTTATGAAGAATGATGTATCTAGTCAGATCTATTTATTTGTAAGGTGGTCTTTAAAACCATAATTAAATTAACTTTAAATGAGGATTACAGCCTCATGACTGCTAAGGTATTCAGAATACACACAGCAGTGGGAAACAGTATGAAGGGTCACTCTGACAAGAAGACCAGAATGGAAGTCTTTAGAAGAAAAGTTTTAGTCTGTTTACATTAGAGTCTTAGGGAAAAAACCCAAGTCTTTCCAGGGCAGGATGGAGAAGTTGGATTCTGTGTAGAAAAATCAAAGTAAAAGGGACAGTTGGACAGAGGAACAACGTGTGGCTTTTGTTCCTGTGGATGGCTGGACTGCTGCAAGCAACCAATCCTGTAGATAATGCAACAGAGGAACTTTTGGGATGCTGATGAAAGGCTTACCAGCCAAGTTTATTCGTTTGTTCTCCTGGAACAAGAGAGCAAATTTCAAGGCACACTAAAGTGACATCTTTATATCTGAGTATCAAAGATGTGAATGAAAGAGCCCAGGACAAGGCTGACTCACACTTTGTGACCTCCTGAGCATCTGACCAGTGTAGGAAGAATAGTGCTGATGTGAATGAAAAGAGAACTTGGCCTTTTCTGTGTGTGCCTTTCATTGCTACCTCTAAAAGCTGGACTAATAATAATCCACAAGTGCATGAAGATATAAAACTTAAAAATATTTATGTTCCTGACCTTCCCAGGTGTTAGGTGCAATTTTCCCAGCCCTGAAATACTCCTCAGAATGCCTGTATGGGGCAAGATGCCCATTTTTGAAGAGGAAAAACTGTGGTCTAGGGACATGGAGCACTTCTCCACAGTTGATACAGGCAGACTCGAGCACTCTGCAGGTCTGAGCCATGCCAAGACGAGCAGCTCTGATGCAGAGATCATGTAATGGCAGAGTACTGGTGTGGTACCAGCCCAGCAGACAGTGGTCTATTCACTGAGTGTGGCATCAGCCTCAGACATCTGTGCCACTTTTAGACTTCAGCCAGCTTGAAACACAAGGTTTCTGACTGCCCCCATCCAGGTGGGAATGTGGCATACTGAACACTATGCAAGAATCTCTACTCAGTGTCTGAAATGCTAAACTACCTCTCTTCACTCTCCTGTCTGATATCCTGAAGAGTTTACCACGCACCATAGGCTGTTGGGCAAATAAGACACAGGGAACTCACCAGCTTAAACACTTTTGCTAAGTAACAACACTGAAATTCTGTCCTAGACAGCCCTCCAAAGGGATTCACTTCTCTGCTTCTTTTGCAGTATGGCAAGTATACCAGGACCTTGAAAGTATCACAGTGTCTGCATTATCCATTATTCTAGTGAGGATCAAACTTATCGGAATAATTAAAATTATTACTCCCATGTGCTGGTTTACTCATATGAACAGTAGCTATAGAACCAGGCAGGCCCTGGAAAAAAATGATTTTTGCCTTTGCAATTGATTTTCATGCTATAATAAAGGCACTTCTGATGAATTTTAGTAGAGGCGGGGGCTGAATACATGTGCCTGTTATCAGGGCTTTGCTTTATGTTAAGACAGCCCTGCATTGTGCAGTGCATAATGAATTCCAGAAAACACAGCTTCTTATTGTTGTCAATTATTGGGGGCTCATTCTCCTAATGAGACATGTAAATATCTTTCATTAACATTAAAGGGGACTGTGTGCTTGGCCCCTGAGGAGAACAGTGCTCTCTGTCAGCTACGGCAGAAAGATGAAAATTACAACAAAAATGCCATTACAGTTATTGCAAAAATTTTCCTTTATCATGTCAGTAGTCTTGACAGTTTTTGGTATTGCTTGCAGAATTATCCCTCTACCCTTTTGGCCTATTTACCTCCTTGTTTTGGACTGCTACAATAAACTCTAAAATGTCTTTTTATACCCACAGTTTCAAAATGCAGAGAAAGGGACTGGCTGCTAAACCCTGTTAAATACAGGCAGAACATGTAAGCCTGGGCTTAATGCATAAGCATATGCTGTACTTTAAGTCACCCAACTGAAATCAATGGGACTTCTCAAACTATTAAGCAGTTCAGCAGTTGTTTTACCTGTATTTGATCAGGGACTGGAGAGGTGGGTACTGTGCTGGGTATTGAACTCTGAGTACAGTAAGCCATTGGACAGGTTGGTAAGGGGTTCTTAAAGAAACTCATTGAAAACTCTCAGAGCAAACATCCACAGAGTTTTGCCTTGAAAAATACATACACTCAAAGTCCAGACAGCTGCTGGCCCCATCAGTCCACGTGCCTGAGGATCCTCTCCATCACTGCAGCTGACAGTTTGCTGACAGAGAACAGTAATGTCCCTACTGCTCTGCCTAAACCTCCAGAGCAGAGGACCATATACAAACTGCCTGCTGGCAACGGTGACAGCCTGTGCTGACCCCTGCCAGCCCCATAAATCATCTGAGAGAGTCCCCATGGAGCAGAGCCAAACCTGTGCCAGGGCCTGCACCTGAAAATGAGCACTACACATCAGCGATTTGAACACCTGCACACGGTCCCTGGTCCTGGGACACTCCTGGGGATGGCACAGCCCATGTGCTGGGCAGGGCTCATCTGAATCTTCCCTGCACTGGCAGTGAACTCAAGTGCTGGGCGTTCATGCTGTTCTCAGCACAAAATAAGATGGTGCTTGCACGGGCTGCCCCAAGATTTCCTCTCCAGAACAGCAATGACCTGACCACGCAGAGGTCTCATCAGGATGGCCTAATTTTAGGGAAGACTACTGAAGAGACTAAGGATCAGTTCTGGGATTATTTCACAGGACAAATTCTTTTCTCCCTATTTCATGTGAAGTTCTATTTATGTAACAAACTGATATTGTCAGAAAAAAATTCAGCATTTCATGCAAAATCAGCCCTGTGATTACAAATAGACCCACCATCCCTCAAATGTGCATGAGGTTCTAAAGTTACATGTGTGTTTACATACACATGTCCACACATGTATAATATGTGCATGTTTAAAATACATCACACATAACATAAAGTGGATAATACACCAGACCCTCATCTCACCTAACTGACCTTTCGGAAGACCGGAGAATTTCCAGAGACACTCATATAGTATGTGAAATCTCTGCCCCACTGAGTCAAATGTTCCAAACTATTTCAGTGCCTAAAGATGCCAACAGACACCTACTGTGAATCCACAAAAGCACCGAGGCAGAGTGCAGGCTGAATTCACGTCAGGTCCACCAAGACTCAGAAAGCACCAAAGAAAACCAGTTGTGAGGATTCCTGTAAATACCTACAGCAGAATCACCTAGATGCTCTTCAGAATTTAACACAGAAAAATTAAGTGGAATATTTATAATGGAATTTTAATTTTCTTTTTTAAAAAAAGGCATTTGAAAAATAAAATAGTTTGGAGGACGGACGAAGATAGTCTTAAACCATGTATAGTCACAGTATGCAGCAATGAATAGTGTCCTTTATAAAATGGAGGTAAGAGAAACACAGCCTATAAAATAAAAGCAAGCAAAACATTTCACTGGGCTTATTTGAGAGAAATAGCCTGCAGGTAAAAATGGCTGTTGACCTTGAAAGCTGGTATCCAGCCCCAACTAGGTTATGATAAAATACGAGGACACATCATACTTTTCTTGTTGGGTTCTGGTTTTACTTAATTTTCTGCAACTGCGCAAGATTAGATGGTCTGAAGTTGCCAGTGCTGGATCCAAGGCAGAACAGTCCCCAGTTCTGCTCTGCCCTACAGTAACAGTTCCTAAACACAGTGGATTAACAGCATGTTCAGTGACTGTTGGAAAACAAGCAATATTATTTACAGTCATAACGAGGTTCAGTAAACATCCAGCTAAATAGAAGAAGAAAATAATTCCCACTTAACTAGAACACTTAACACAATGGGGTGCACAGACTGGCTTCTAATTCTCTTTGTATTTAGCAAATTAGGGAAATGCAAACTTGGGGAAACAAAGCCTACTTTGAGCATGGATCTCATCATCACAGCCCTTCTGAAGCTAGCTCCAAAGACTAGACATGTTGCAGGTGGCAGCTGAATTTATTTTAAAATTCAAGACTTGTGGCATACCAGCCTTTAGTCTGATACCCTGAAGAAAATAATGAGACTGAAGATCTGTGGATGACTTTTTTCACAGATGCAATCAGGGCACGCTTGTGACCTTCTCATTATGCCTCTCCGGGTCATCCCTGTTCCCATGTGAACTGCCAGGCACAGGCTCATGCAGCTCTTACACACATTGGTCATAACAGCCCATACAAATTCCTACAACAAAACTAGATCCTTGCTATAAAATGGAGAAGCAATCTTATTCCTCCACTCACACCAAACACCCACTGATCAGAAGCTCTAAATGGCCCATTTGACCACTTTGCAATTTTCACTGGATGATGCTGTAGCAAGGAGCAGGAAAGTTAATAAATGTTAAGAAAGGATCATCCTTCCCCCCATTAGCACCTTTCCCTCCCCTTTAACAAATTTCATCCTTCCCTCCATTACTCTAAGAAAGAAAATGACGGACGTACCCCGTGGCGCTGTTCATAGTAAGCCAGCTTGGATTTGGTTAAGACAAAGAAGCGCACTTTGAAGTTGGAGGGTGAAGTCCTTCTCTTCTGCTGGGATTTTTTGATCAGCAGTTCCTCCAGGAGCACACAGTTATTCATGGCTGAGCCAAGAATGTTTGTCTCCCAGGACATGAGAAGTCTACCCTGTGTGCCCGTCTAAGAAAGAAACACAAGAAGGGAGACAGTTAATTAAAAAAAAAAAAAAGTAGTTCAAAAGGCAGCGTAGGTGCTTTGAGCTTTATCTTCCCATCTACAGCAAAGCTTCCTTTCTGTCAAACCATAACCACATCCTCTCTGAAGTCATAAAACGAGCAGCACAGTTGAGATACACGCTAGGGTAAATGTTGTGGAAAAAATAACACTTGATGGGCATTCAGAAGGTGTGAATCAATGATTAAGGATTAATTAAAGGGGTGTGGCATGATTAAGCATCTGTCTCCTATTTGCTGATCTAGTAAATACAGTTATAAATGCACACACCAAACACAGATGTATGGGATGAGTGTCCTCACTGTCCTCTTAGAAGTAGGTTGTGCATCCATATTTATTTTGTGAAGGAATGGTACCTTCCCATTTGCAGTGAGCCACAGAGATTTCATACAACGGATTTTGAGGAAGTTCCCCATGTAATCATTTAGCTAACAAGGTGGTGTTTGGTTAAAGGTTGGACTTGATGATCTTGGAGGTCCTTTACTTGATATTTCTGTAATTCTATAACGTGAAGGTTCTTACTATGCAGGCAAAGAAATTGTATCCAAGGGCACACTCACAATCATAGAATCATAGAATATGCTTGCATATACTTGTATAAGGAATGGTAAACATATAATAGATATTTAAACTGAAGACAAACAGTTATAATAACCAATAATTGATTAATTATCATTGATTACTCTCTACTGATTACTGACTGCTTCAGATGCAGTCTGATGAGGCTGTGGCTCGATGCTGCAGGAGGGAGAGGCACAACATGCCCTCTGTGCATGCTATCAAGACCAATGTCATCAGCAGTGACATGAGCTCAGACATCCAAGCAAATGCAACTGGTTTCCTCAGGCCTCCAGGGCACCATTCAGGGCAGTTTGCACCAGGCTAAATATAAAATTATAAAAAAAATTAATATCTATCTAATGCAGTCAGTAAAACTGTTCTATTTTAAAACAAATGCAATCCATTTTTCTCTGCTCTTTCATTCTTAGTATTTTGTGTATTTTTTTAGTATTGATGTATAATTGCATTGCTGATGGTATTGAGGCTTGGAGTCTGGTGGAATGCAGGGAAACTGCAAGGTAAGTATTTTTATTATTTTGGTATTTCTGAAAATTGCTTCAGTGTAAATCATTTACCAGTGCTGAGTTTTGTCTCTGTTTTAATGTAGCACCATGGTGTAAGAAGGCAGGTCCCTATTGCTGCTTTTTAGAGCTGTTTGCAAGCTCAAAAGAAAATATTTCATTATTTTAAATACAGGTTATGAGGAAAAAAAATCTAAACAAATATCAGAATTGCAAAAAAAAAAAAAGAAGACTTGGATTTTATAGGGCAGTTTATAGAAAGACTTGGGAACCATACTCTCAATAGAATATATTGTTTATTCCTCAAAAAAGAAGGAGTGGCATATCCCTTCCTTGGTGTTTTATGATATATTATTTAGGCAGAATGTTCCAGGGACCATCAAACTTTCCCTACCAATTTTGTTCAATCTTAATTAAGAAACTGCATTTTCCATAAAAATACAATTTAAATATAGCACTTGATGTACAGATTTGTAAGAGAATTTGCTTAAGACAATGCAGTACCGTGGGACAGAAACAAGGACAAACAGAAGCTGTTGAGCAGCTGATGCCTGTATAAATATAGATAGTCTTGGTAGTCTTGCTGAAGATGAGGTGCAGTATGTACTGAAACATTTGTCATGCAGAATTCTGTTAAAGTGAGGCTTTATTTCTCGGCAGAGTGACTGAGTACCAAGGAACTCTTGTGGTGAGATGACACAAATCTGTGATCTCCCAAGAAGCCATCACTGGTGTCAAGGGGAATTTCATACCTATTTGTAGACTAGGATCAATGCCCAGGCCAAATTTCCCAGTTCTTCTACAAACCCGTTTGCCTCATGCAGTACACGTGTGTGAAAAACTGAGAGTTTGATGACAGTTTTCAAAATTTAGCCCTGTGCCAACAGTAGCTATTTGGATAAATTCCAGACCTTCAACCTCCAAAATATAGGACCACTTTTGCGTCTGCATAACTTTCCTTAATTTTGAGAATTATGCTCAGAGATCCTTTCTTGTCATTAATAAACCAAAACATGCACAGGGACAAACTGTGTGGATTCACTGTGCAACAGTGAATTCCCCCCCAAAAAGGCTGTTGATCTTGATCAACAAGCATTTCACTTGATTTGTGTTGATACAGATACATTTATAATGACAGTTTGTAATGGCATTGCATTTTTAGCTAATAACACTTATTTAGGACTATGTTATTTTTTTCTAGTCTCTTCTTCACACTAACTGTAATGTGTTAAGGACTTCATGAAAACTCTTTGTAGCTTGGCCAAGGGGGGTTGCAGTCTGCTGGCAGAGATGCCCATGTTGTCTTATCAGAAAATTGAGTATAAATAGAAATACAAGGGCATGACACTGGAGCTCTGCAGAAAAAGCGAGGAGTACAGGACAGCAGAGAGGTGAGACATCAACACGCCTGAGGGGAGCGAGGCCACTGGAGATGGGAGGATGTGGGGGGGAGCAGAGGTTCAGCAAGGGTGGTGAGTAGCTGGGGGAGGGCTAAGAAATTCTTTGAACACAGTGACTGGCAGCTTGATTTCTTTACCAGATAAGAGATGAGTTTTTGGAGGGACATGAAGAGGGGGGCGATTTGATCAAATACACAGATAAGGGGCTTGGCAACTGCACCTCATTTGCCGTAAACACGATGCACCACAGGAGCTCTGACGGGAAGGTGTTGCGAGGGGCAAGGTAAAAGAGAGAGAAACAAGGAGCAGCTGAGAATGCAGGTTTGATACAACATGTGCAGATGTAAGAAAATAATCACAGATTTTGGCCCGGAGCGATAGAGAATGTCGTAGCTGTGTTAGAACCGGCAGGATTTAGCAGGCTAGAGCAGCCATTCTGAGTTTTCCATGTTGAGCTCAAAATGGTGGTTGGCCAAGCTAAGATATTAAGCAGGGAGAAAAATAAGAATGAGCAGGAGGAAGGAAACAAGTCAACACAGCCAGATTTGGGTGCCATTGATATAAACATGGGAGCTGGTTTCAGTGAGAGCTGCTAACTATTGCAATATCTCTATCAGCTGATAACTCTTCAGTGTTGAGCTGGGGAGGAAGGTAGGGGCTGACATATTTTTGTATCCAATCTTGCTGCCAGATCTACTCCTTCATTTTTCTTTTTTCACTTTAAGTCCAAGCCCCATGTGTAGCAAACACCAAAATAGTTGAGTGTTACGAGCCAAAACCAGAATATGAATGCTAAGTTTAAAGAATGTATAGCCAGGTTGACATGTATAAACCAAAATCATACGGTCTAAGAACTGTATTTGTATTTAATTACACATTTAGGAGAGAGTAACCTGATTATGTATATTTGAATTTAATTTCAAAGATCATAATTTCCTGACTAATTTTTAAATAAAATTCTTTGTTCCTTTCAAGACATGAACTGTAGACAAAAATAATTTGTCATTATCCTTCTGGGTGATTACCAGGTTATAACCCTTTTAAAGAAAGCCTCAGACATTTAAGGGGCTCAGGACCCTTCTACAGTAGAGGAGGAGATAAGTATATATGTCTATATATATATTTTAGGTAGAAATACACCACTTGTCTAGGACCAAGTTGGCTGCAGAGCTGGAATATGTGAGGATACCTGCAGAGCTCTACACACAAAGTGCAAAGTCTTCCTCAAAGGGCTCCTCAGGAGAGCTGGAATATCCCATTAACACAAGTATTTCATTTCTGGAAGCTGATTTTGTATAATGGTACAGTTTTACACCAAATGTAAGAGCACGCTCCTTTCAAGACTTCTGGCACCACTATATATCACATGGTACAGAAATTCTGTATCCTTCATAGAAAATAATTAAATATAACTGTCCTAAATATCTTAGAACCACTGTAAGACTATCCTTCAAGGGATGATGAATTTTTTAGGTACCCTACATATTCTTTTCTTAAGTGCTTTTCTAAAGCCTGCTACCATGTATCTTTTGACACTTTTTCATCCATATTCAGGAAAATCTGAAACACTTTAAATGATTCAGATTAAAGTTTGAGCTGCTGTGTGCTCTAAATACTCCTCTGTGCTGGGTAAGTTGAGGTTACAGATAAAGTTATTCTTATCAACTGTGGCCTCAGTGGACTCCTTTTTCTTCTTTTAATCACCTTTGTTCATTCCTTGCTACCTCCTGCAAACTGCTCTATTTCTGCTTTAAAAAATGTTATTTTAGGGATTGGATTTTTTCTTAGGGGATTTACCCAGATTATGCAGTTCACACTTTGATTACTGCCGACTGTGAAAATCTCCCCACCCGCACATCCTGCTCTGATACCAATGCTCATGTCCTGAAGGCGGCAGAGAAATGTATAAAGTTAAATATAGAATGTTTTTGTTTTTGTGAAGAAAACAGTCCACAAGGCTGCAACTCTCTCTTCACTCTCATAAATTGACCTATATACTTCTATCATGTGTAACATTTAGGTCAGGTTTACTGCCTGGGTGCCAGCTCTTCCTTTACACCAGCTGCTCAATATGATGATTATTACTCCACTTCTAAACTTCCATCATTCAACCCATTTTGCTTCTTAGCTTAGAGCGTGAGAAACTCTTAATTAGGTTACTCAGCTGTCTCGCTTCTTTGGCAGTTCATTATCACCCCAATAAACATGTCTCCAGTAGACCCAAAGAACAAGACAGAAAGCTGCAGAAAAAGGGAAGAATTAGCCTGGTCTTTCTGAGCCAAATGCATCCAGCTTTCCTCTAGGCCTTACAGCTGCACCTTTGAATGTGTTCACACTGCTCCCAGTGACCAAGGGAGCTGCTCTTGTAGAACCAGGGCAATATTCTCCTATGAACTGTCTGGGACCCCTGGGAAAGTAGATGCCTTGTTCTGAGCATTGCTAGGAGGATGTAGTGAATTATCCATCATTTCAATGCCTGAAGGGAATCATTCCCAGGCTTACTGATGTTGGCAGTAACATAGAGAACATGCTTTATACTGGAGAACTTGCACAGGGTTAGGACAGGGATGAAGGGACAATTAATTCTGTTCTATCTTAGGGAAAAATGCAGAAAGGGAGGCCTAGTTTCATGGGGTCACACCCAAAGTGGGAATTTGTTCCAGCTCCTTTTATCAGTGCCTGCCTATTGTGGTTTCTTTCTGTTACTGTCTCCGTCGGAAGACAGAGGTGTGACTTACACTGCTGGCAAAATGGCAGTGCCAGGGTTTATTCTGGCAATATGACATGTTTGCTGCTACCCATGTTGCTGATGGATGGACAGGGATTACTTCTTCATGCCACGCAGATGCATTTTTTTGAGAAATGTTCATTTACATGTTAGAATATGTTGTCACTGCAGGCATGTGACCAAGAAAACACCCAGCATTAAAAATCAGGTTGGGGAGCTGCTTTCAGAAATAACATTATGACTGTGAGCACAGAAGAGACTATTGGATGATTGTATCAAAACGTGTGTGGATTTTGAGCCATGTCAATTTATTAACCAGTAGTGAGATACCTGTTTTATTGCTACATAACCATTCAAGCTCTGTGCTGAGCTTTGAATCCATTTGAATCTGCTAATAGGCTGTATAGTAAGAAACAGGTCAACTGTCATGTGCAACTGCCCATGTGCACTGCCCAATTTTTACATGATAGGAACATTAAACTTCCTTCCTACATTAGCAGGTGTGCCAACAGGCTGCAGTTGATATTTTAGTCTGAGGAGTCAGGAAGAAAAAGATGCACAGTACTGCACTGCAAATTCATTAATTCCCACAGCCACAGCAGGAGACAGGGAGATGGGAATTAACCACAGCAGATGGAGACATAAAGCTTGTTTAAGTCCCCTTCACCACCAACAGGCTCCTTTTCTCTTCCCTTCCTTTCTGGTACATTCTACGACAAAGCCTGTAACAATCACCAAAAAAGGAATCCTGAGCTCATTGCTTAACCAGGTGTAAGATATAACACTCACCTAAACCCAGTAAGAGACTAGAACTGAATTTCATTTTGGGATTACTTTTTCAGACGATGTGAGAAAAGCACACACACATTTATTTATTATTTAGAGTGCAGTAGCAGTCAAAAATGGAAGAAATATGTTGTAGCACAGAAGAGAGCAGCACTCTTCTAAAAAAATGCTTGAGAATGGGGTTTATATTTACTGTGCTTGCACAGTGTTTGGATTCAAGTTGTGCTAAAATAACAGCACACTGCAATGGTACACACTGTACACACTGCTGCTGAATTAATAGAACTGGAGTGTCTGATACTGAAACATGCCAATTTGCCTAAAATTAGTTATGAGGAAAACGAATATAAACTTAACTCAAGCAGTAAATTAAGATGTTGTGTCTTTGAGGCGAAGAATATCATTGTACTGATTCACCATCTGCTGAAGGGGTGTCCAGATTCAGTTCCACAATCTGGAGATGTTGTAGGAATTGTGTTGCATTATCAGTGGTAGGTTTGTACTGGACAGCAACCTTATTTCAGAAAAGAGCTGAAATGTAGCAGAAAGCAAACTGTAGAGTGCTCCTCATAACACACTATCACTCTTAATTTCTCCTTTAGAACCACTGTAAGGAGAAATGTTAACAGCTGCCCATAGGCTGGAAATGGTCATCCATGGGTCTTCTGAGAACCAGCCATGCTACCAAGAACAAGACTGAAAAACTTCAGTTGACGTTATATGCCCTCTGTTTTGGCCACTATCATACAGACTGAGAAAATGAGTCAAGAAGATCACAGAGATCATGTTAAAAAACAAGTGCTTGGTCCTCACTGTCTTCTCCTGTTTGAAGTCACAGAGTTTTACATCCTTGCTGCACAGTTCACTGAGTGCAAGGTACTAGAGAATCAAGCTCAGTTCCTGTTAAAAGAATGTGAAATCAAAGTCTGGAAAATCCAATAAAACCAAAGGTGTGCTAGTACCTCCTTCTACATGGGTTATCTCATGCATGTCTGGAGGTGATGCTTTTTATTCCTTGCCTGTCTTTCAGAGTATGACGTGACAAGATGATTTGAGATAAGAGCCTGCTACCACAGAAATGAGGAGAACTGTTCCCCTCCCCATCTCCCCAGCCTCCTCCTTTCCTCCTGTCTATGCACTCTCCTCTCTTAAAAGCTCACCCTGATGCTCACAGGGTAGATAACACATATTGACTTAACACTCTAGAAGAGCTGAAAACTTAATCCAGAAAAATGGCAGTAAGGCTTTCTGTGTGGTTTGGAGCTGCATCAGTTTACTTTGCAAGCCAGTGCTTGACAGGGACAATACAGAGTGCTGAGATTAAAGGACTGCACAGCCAGAATGGGGGACTGGAGGAGCACTGAGGGAAGAAAGGAGAGAGGGATCAGGAGGAAGGAGTAAGGGTGAAGACCTCCCTTTCCAAAGCAGAAAATGATTTAGAGCAGCAGGGAGCTGCACCCTTGCCAGTATTTGGCAACCGTGATCTCAGTCCCATGTTTATGTGCCTTGATAAGATCTGCATGTCCATCCTGGAGTACATTCCCTTCTTCAAAATGATTATTTGATGGATTAAAGTAGTATTTGGCAAACACCATGTTAAATCAACTTCAGGAAATTCCCTGCTATGGACAGACACCCAGTGAGAATGAATGTCTCAAAGGGGGTATTTCCTCTTCAAAATATATTTTACTTAAGAATGAAACCAGATCAGTCTATTTTGCCACCAGGACTGTACTCATTGTCAACTGTAAAGTATATTTGGTTTGGAATATATAAATATTCAACTATTCTATAAAATATCCGTACATTACTTCAGGCTTTCTAGTCAAATAGATCTATTCTAGATATTCTTTGAATCGTTTTAGAAATAATTAACAGGATGCAAGTTAATTGTCTTTCAACTGAAATTTTTTCGGTGAAATGATCGCTCTCGAAGAGCGGGTCTGTAAATGACACTGCGTGTGCTCGCGATGGGTCCCTGTCACGCCAAGGCCATTGCTGCCATCTGCTGAGGGAGAGAGAACGGCACAGAAGCGGCCGAGTGTCAAAAAAACATTCCCTGTTGGCCATTCCAGGGAGAGATTCCTGCAGAGGCGATGCCAGCGAGTCCAGCTCCACCTCACCCACAACGTGAAAAATTGAAATCCACGGGTTTTTACTTCAACCCCCTCGAGAACAAAACTGAAAGGAAAGCGAGGGAGCCGAACTGTTTTGTCAGACTGTGCTCAGGAGTGCAGGAATGCTGCGAACACCTCCAGGGTGATGCTGTGATTCCACGGTCAGAGTTAACGCCCGCGGTGTATTTCGATGCGTGGAAGCTCTCGGTACCTGTGTGATCACCGCACACATGGTCACATTAAATGCCATCACTGCGTGATTCTGTGCTTGATGTGCAACAACCTCTGCGTTGGCAGAGCCCGATCTGAACACGCCCCTCCAGCTCAGCCCGGGGCTGTAGCCAGGGGAGGGTCGGGCTCTGCTGCCAGGAACGAGCGATGGGACACGAGGAGATGGCCCGAAGCTGCGCCAGGGGAGGTTCAGGTCGGACATCAGGAAGAAATTCTTCACAGGAGGGGTGATTAGACATTGGAAGGGAGAGTCACTATCCCCGGAGGTGTTCAAGGGCCACCCTGACCCAGCCCCGTCCCCGCGGGGATGCCAGGCCGGTCCTTCCCCTCCCTCCCCTCCCGGTCCTGCCGCCCCAGGAGCCGCTGCTGGCGAGGGAGCCCCGCAGCCCTGAGGGGCTCCCGACGGGAGGGGACGGGACGGGACAGCCCCCTCAGTGCCCGCTTGCCCCGGGCACCGCCCCCTGAGGGAGCTGAGTGGAGGGAATGTCTGACAGATGTTCGCGATAACCAATCAGAGCGCGGCACAGAGAGGCTGCGAGCCAATGGGAGGCGGGGGAAGGGGCCGCTGTCCGGAAGCGGCGGCGCCGAGGGCGGTGAGGGCGGCGCGGGTGAGTGAGGGGAGCTGAGGGCAGGCGGGGGGATCCCCGCGGGCTCTGGGTCGGTTCTGCCCCCTCCGCCGGTATCCGGTCGCGGCTCTTCTCTCCTTGGCACTGGCGTGGCGAGCTCCGGCGGCCCAGAGCCCGGCCCAGCCCGGAGCATGGCAGCGAAGCTCGGCGGGGGTGGGCCCGGCCCGGTTCCTCCCGTGGGTCGCGCGTGAAGGGGGAAGCCACAGGAGGAGCGGCTGAGGGCACTTCGTTTGCTCGGCCTGAAGAAGCAGGAGACTAAGGGGCGACCTCACCACGGTCTGCAGCTTCGTGACGAGGGGCAGCACCGATCTGTGCTCTCCGTGAGCAGTGACAGGACCCGAGGGAACGGTTGGAGCTGTGTCAGGGCAGGGTTAGGTGTATATTAAGAAAAGGTTCTTCCCCCAGTGGGTGGTCGGGCACTGAACAGGCTCCCCAGGGCAGTGGTCACGGCCCCAAACCTGAAAGAGCTCAGGAAGCATTTGGACAACGCTCTCAGGCACACGATGGCATTGCTGGGTTGTCCTGTGCACGTCCTGGAGTTGGACTTTGATGATCCTTCTGGGTCCCTTCCAGCTCAGGATATTCTGTGGAGTTCACAGGCTGGGCCCCAGCTAGGGAAGGGGTCTCCCCTCTCCCTGTGGCTGCTCAGTTTACAGGCTGGTCTTTCATATTTTGGGAAATGGGTGTTCTGTGTGCTACTGTAAGTAAACCTCAGTGAAAAGTAACATAGATTTATCACGAGTTTATTGTACTCTACACCCTGAGTTGTGTTTCTTCTGGCTCATTTTCTCACAGTCACCTCTCTTACATTGTCTTTGTTTATATTTATGTTATAACCTTGTGACACAAATTGTTAACATATGTTTCTTGGGACATCCTCATAGGTATTTCTGTCTGGCAAAAATGGGTGAACCCCAGCAAGTGAGTGCCCTTCCTCCGCCTCCAATGCAGTATATAAAAGAATATACTGATGAAAATATCCGTAAGGGCCTGGCTCCAAAGCCGCCTCCCCCTGTGAAGGACAGCTACATGATGTTTGGAAATCAGTTCCAGTGTGACGACCTGATCATTCGGCCCTTGGAGAGCCAGGGTATTGAACGGCTGCATCCCATGCAGTTCGATCACAAGAAGGAATTAAGAAAACTTAATATGTCTATCCTGGTCAACTTTTTGGACCTCTTGGACATCTTGATAAGGAGCCCAGGGAGCATAAAGCGAGAGGAGAAACTGGAAGACTTGAAACTGCTTTTTGTCCATGTCCATCACCTTATAAACGAGTATCGCCCCCACCAAGCCAGGGAGACACTGAGGGTCATGATGGAGGTGCAGAAACGCCAGCGCCTGGAGACCGCGGAGCGGTTCCAGAAGCACCTGGAGCGGGTCGTGGAGATGATCCAGAACTGCCTGGCTTCCTTGCCTGATGACCTGCCTCATGCAGAGGGAGGACTGAGAGTGAAAGTGGAGCCCATGGATACTGATGATGGCAGCAACTGCGTCGGACAGAGCGAAAAGCAGAGAGAGCGTTCTGGTGGCAAGAGGGATCAGGTTTTAGACAAGGACGCAGCGATGTGCAGCATTATCGACGAAATGACATGAAGAGAACACCTTGCCTTGTTAACGCACCACAGGGAGAGGCAGGATGTATTCTGGGGCTACACATACTTTGTTTTGCTGTTGTACAAGCAGATAAAGAGTTTCTTGTGCACGTGTTGGAGGTTGTGAGTGACTAGGCAGATGAAAGTGTTTGATATTTTGTCACCTGAGTTTTTCTGGTAGAAAGAAAAAAGTATAATTTTTGTTAAACGTACCATGAGGTGGTAGGCACAGAATAAAGTTGACTTTTTCTGTTGTACTTTCGTTTGTCACTTCCTGCGTGTTTTGGGTACATTTCTCTGATTTTCAGGTATGCCATTCTGTTGTTCTATATGCTCTGAGTCAAGAAAAAAATTTCTACAGAAGTGGTGCTTGTTTCTTGCACAAGCAGAACACAGGAACTTGGAAAATGGGCACGTAGAAACTCAAATTGCACCAAGGCATTCCTTATAGTCTGTGCTTGAGGTGAAATCTAAAGCAAGTGGGTTAACTGTTGTCCTGTGGCTGTGATGTTCTCTTACTAATTGACAAGAGTGGCTTTCCTGGAACACAGACAGCACTCAAACAGCTGTTGACTAACATGTGAACGGAACAGCCTGGGTGAAGTGAGTAAAATGGGCTCAGACAGAGCTCTGGGATAAGAGTTCCCTTATTTTCTCATCCTGTTTACTTATTTCAGAGCTCAGACGTGGCTCATGCAAGGGAGGAACCTGTGTAGACCCGTGCACACCGTATGTTTTGCAGGGGACTGGGAAGGGCCGTGTCCTGGTGTGCAGGTGGGTGTTTGCTGCACACTGAACCAGCAGAGCTCACTGGCCCGTCCAGGCACTGTGGGGAATGTGGTCACCCGCCTCCTGCCAGAGCCAGCTTGCCAGGATCCTGCTGGCCATTATCAGAATTATTCCTCTAGCAGCTGTCTGCAGTTTCCTGTTTCCACAGAAACATCAGGAACAAAGAGGAAGCACTTTTCTTAGAGTCCTGCTTCCAGCTGCTGCACGCAAAAGTCACGCTGCATGCAAAAGTCACCCTTCGTCCCTCTTACTCTCACTTCTCTCCTACAAGTATGTTGCTAGTACTTGCCTCTCATCTGCATTAATCCCCTGGTTTTCCTAATTTTCACTTAAAAAAGCTGTCACTTTGATGCATCTGCTCTCCTCTAAGGTAGCTCATATGAGACAGCTCTGTTGATTCTGATTCTCACTCCTTAGTACTTAATTTCATCTGTATAAAACACTGTGAGGTAGGTTAGTTGCTTCAGCAAAGAACACTTTTGTCCTAGATCAAATAGCCTTCATCACAGCTGCAGTTCTAGTCCAAACAATATAAAAATATAAGATATCCTTGAGAAGAGTTTGTTGATCCAGGGACACAGGGAGAGTGGCCAGGGAACAGCCTTCCTCAAAAGCTGAATTTCAGCATTTTGTCAGAGTGAGCCTTGAGTCTGGGATGAGACAGTTTCCACACAGTTACTTTTTAAAATGATTCTGTATTCTGGATGTTTTGTCTGTATTGCAAAAGCCCAGCTGCATATGGAATTTTTAAGAGTCAGGTGAAAAGAGACTGAAACTCTATTTGGCTCAGCTGTGTAAGAGTAGGACAGTTTTCTAATACTACCAAATTATTGCTGCCAAGGAAAATTTGCCAAAAGATGCTCTGAGCTGCTTCTAAGTATTAGAATCAGAAATTTATGATTAAAAGCTTGAGTAGTTCTTCCTAGGAATCTTTTATTTTTCCAAGTCATTTCTACTTACCACTGTGTTACATATCCTATGCCGTCTTCTATCCAAATGCTGTCTACTGTGGCAAAAGCAGGTGTGGGAAGCAGTCTGGGGCAATGGTTCTGATAGCTGTGTGAGCTCAGCGGTGCTGACAAGTTTCACTTACAGTAATCAAACAGATCTGGAAAAAAGAGAACTAGATTTCTGTGGTACCACGAAGCGTCGCCTCTCAGTCACTCCCCGGCAGCGGCAGCTCAGCCCTGTACACTTGCACCTTGCCTGCAGCTCTGCCTGTGCTGCAGGAGACAAACAGCCCAACCACGGGCAAAAGGACCAGATTGGACTAAAGGGCACCCACAGCTGTGACTGGACATGGTGTGCAAGAAATAAAGAAGTGTACATAGAAGATAAGTTTTCGTGAATGAGGAGGGTGAGCGGGAGTGTTCCTCATTTCAGCCACGATGTTGCCTTACGTCTGCATGAACTGGATTCTCCTGGTCCTGTTTACAGGTAACTAAGTGGGCCTAAACAACTAGATGGAGGTGGATGGAGGTATCGTGCATCAGTGATTCTGAGGGTTGCAAAGTGAGAAATTTTATCTTACAACAGGAAGAGTGGTCGCATATCACAGAAACTGCAGCTTTGTGTTGGAATAGAATTTTATCACAGTGACTCTAGTGTTCTAGTGGCCTTATCCCCTTTGTAAGACAAAACCCTGTTTGAGGGTATGGTGGTTTTAAAGATGCTCCTTCTTGAGCTGGTCTTGGCTCCTGCTAGTCTGATTAGTGGGCTTTTTTAAAAGTAATTGCCCGAGCAGAGAACTTTCAATCATTTTAGAGAAGTGGTAAAACAAGGATATTTCACTTTGGCAGACTTTGTGAAGATGAGTGCTGAGGAAGACAGGGAAAAGGTCAACTCTGGCTTCTGGTGTTTTTTAGCTAATATGAAATTGTACTGGAACAAATTGGTACTTTTTTTTTTTTTTTTTTAATCTGAGAAACCATTCCTAGATTATTAAAGGCAACAGCACTGAAAACAACAGTTTTTAAAATGACACTAATAAAGACAGACATTAAAAAATTGGTGGTAAGATAAATTCGGTAGAAAGAAAAGAGATATTACAGATACTATTTCTTGTAGTTGTTTATACAGTGTTTTATGATGAGATTCATTTCAAGCTTCCTTTTTATACTAAATAAAAATTATAGACCAGACTGGGTTTTTCATAGAGACAATTTGTTGCTTGTTCTTGCTGCACAGAACTATTCCTAAAATGTTAATATGGATAGATGGAAATATTTACACATGTGATCCCATGTTACTGAATTTGATAAGGATGTGCAGTAGTCAGTATATAGAAAATGGTTTTCTTTGAAGTACAAACAGTATGTGCACTTTGGGAGCCTCACTACATACTCTGTTAGAAGAAAGTGGTTACAGGATGACTGTGACTGAATCCTCAGAGCACAAATCATTTTGACTAGTACTTAACTAGCTTTTAATAAAACCCTTCTAAAGGGAATATTGACTGGAGTGATCTAAATACACAAAAGAACTATTTCACTGTGATGAATCAAACAATTTAGAACCTGAATAAGAGTGAGACGAGAAAATAAAGTAGTGAAAAAAAAGAGTATAAAATTTCTCAGAAAAGCTCTGAAAAATCCCTTCTGATCAGAATGGGCAAACCCTGACTTTAGGAAAGAAAAACAGAAGTTCATTCAGCAGTAATCATTCTGATGAAACCTTCCTTTTAGTGGTTCTTCATTGAAAGGGAGGAAGAGTTTCCCACAGTGGTTTTGATTAAAGTCAGTGTCTTACTGCTCCCCTCTGTGTGATTGGATTAAATCTAAATGAAGGAAAAGAGCTGACAGACTGAGCCTGGCTCAAGAGAAGCCACAGAGTTGAGCAGATCCAAACACTGTTCTCTCTTCACCTCACCTCTTACCTGCAGAGGCTGAAGAAAGTGTATTTCTTCTTTCTGTGATGAGAGACACGTTCTGAACATATAATTGGCCTGGTCATTATCCCTCACTGCATCATTCCTGCCAGGACACATCTATTGGTGGATCCAACAATGCCTGGTGGTGTTTGAGAGATGGGATGTTTCAGGACAGGCAAGGTGCACAAGAAGATCCCACTTTCATGCCCCGTGCTCAACAGCTCTGTCATTTTGCCCACAGGCCCCACAGTATCGGAATTAGTGACAGGAGGGGTTGGTCAGAACGTCACCGTGCCCTGCTCCTACAGCGTCCGGAGGACAAGCGACATCACATCCATGTGCTGGGGACGGGATAGCTGCCCTAAGTCACAGTGTTCTCGGCCCATTATCTGGACAGATGGATGGAGGGTGACAGAGCAGCACGGCAGCAGGTACCTGTTGCAAGGGAACCTGTGGGAGGGCGACGTGTCCCTCACGATCGTGAACGCCGAGGAGGCAGACAGTGGGACTTACTGCTGCCGTGTGGAGCACCGGGGGTGGTTCAACGACCAAAAAAGTAATTTCGAGGTTGTGATAATAAAAGGTGAGTGCAGAGGTGTGCTCTTGTCTGAGTAACCATTGTGGTAAATCTGCTCTTGGGTCTGGGTTTCAAGGCTTGTGGTGGAAATAGTTTCCACGATCATCCAATAAGGTGGATCTTTAGCACCTTGCAGGTCTGCTGTTAGTGCTGTTTAAATTGAGCTGTCTTTGGCAAAGTTCTTATCCCAGGGCAGTCACTGCAATTAAAAAAAGGATATGGTGCTTTGTCTCGTGGTGCACAGCACTACTGAGCTTTCTTAGAAACACTGAAGAATTTAAGAGGAAGGGCAGCATACAGGACTTAGTTCATCCAAAGCGTTATTGCTGCACTATTTTCATAGAAAGCCGTGTTTGACTTTCCCTGCTTGATTCTAGAGTAAAGCCCAGGGACACAAAATTGGCATAGAGAAGTTTTTTGTCAACTCTTCCTCTGATTTTCAGGTTTTCTCTTGCTTGTGAAAAGCATGATAATATATGGAACAAGTAGCTGACAGATGTGTGGCTGGTGCTAGCAAATCCTTATTGTAGAAGCTCTGTCTCTTTTTCACTACATAAATGCACACTGAGGCTAATTATAACATGTGTTGGTTTTGTTTTATTTTTTAACATCAGCTAGGATCTCTACTGCAAGTCCTCACACTTACACCCCTGAACAGACATCAGGTAACTTTTCTCCAAGTATTAACCTCAATAGCATATATAAGCCATGTTGCAAATGGGGATCTTAGGAAGGAAACAAAATGATGCTGGATGATAGAAATGCCTTGGCTAAAATTTATTAAACATTACCATAGAATGAAAGATCAGAACTTGGATTTAAATTCTGCCTGACATTATATAAAGAGTCCAACAGAAGGAACATGTATATGTGGGAGGAAGCTTTCTTCCAGGTGTGATGCTTTAATGGTTTTAGTGGTGCTGCAAGCTTTGCTTTTATTTTGGCTGTTGTTTTGGTTTGTTGGTTTGTTTGTGGTATAAAATCTCACCTCCTCTTCTAGAAATGCATCCCCTGAGGAGTAAAACGCAACTTTTGAGGAGCTGGGTGTACCCACTGTTTAATCAGCTAATTTGTTGCTCTGTAATATAGAACTGTTTTATTGGACTAGCTCAACAGCATGTCTAATCCAGGATCCTGCCTCCAGTAGCAGTCAACAGCAGATGATTAAGGAGGATTGTAGAAACAGGGCAGTAATTTTGTGATACAGTGCCCAAGTATTCTACTCTGGTGTACGAGGTGTCTCAGAGGTTGCCCACGTCCTCCATAGCCCATGAACATGAGGTCTCTCATTGTAGTGAAAGAGAGAGTGCACAACTGTTCCTTACTCAGTTTCTCCATTCCCCTCACAAGTGGATAAATTTCTATCATGTACCCACTCAGCTGCATCTTTTTCAATCTGAAAAAGGCACCTTTAATTTCCAGTACACAAGAGAAAGCTCATGGTTTAACAATATTTTCTGGATTCTGAAAGAAAAATCAGGGATGCCATTTGTTTTTCTCCTTCTGTCTTGGATGTTTCCAGCTAAGTAACTCTAAATTAGTGTGTTTCAACAGTTGCATTTCCTTTTTGGAAAAAGAAGTGAAAACTTTCTCAGACTGTTCCTATTCTAGTTGCAAATAACGTGGCTTCCAATCTTAGAACTCATGGGTTTTCTTAATCCTGTGGCATCTTTGTTGGCTGATGGTGGAACAACGTTTTAAGTTTTCAGAACCCAAGTTAGTATGAGCATGTTCACACCAAGGGAGACTGGAAAAGGCAGCTGGCTGTGTGCCTCTGATGTAGAAATACTCTGGAGTCTCCAATGCCAGAGAACAGTGAAGCCAACAATCCTGTCCTCTTCAAAATAAAGCTTTTGGGAATAAGGGTAACAATTTAAAACATTAAAGCAACCAGCTAATGTTGTCATAAATTGAACAGGAGATTCTGTTTTTAGGAGGTTTTTACATCATCTGAGAACTCGTGGAAAAACTGAGACTGATGACAAAGAAGACAGAATTTTGTGGCTCTTAATTTTAAATGTTGCAAACAGCTTTGCTCTGGGAAATTGCTTCAAAATATGCTGCAGGTGCTTATGCAAATATATCACATTTTGGTCAGTCTGTTTACAGCCGCCTGGGACTTTAAAGTATCACTTGCTTTTCGACTCTGCATTAGTTGCTGTTTCAAGGCCCTGGGACACCCTCAGCAGTTTTCATCAGTTAACCTAAGTTTGCTTTAGGCATCATTTTTTGCTTCAAGGTCAGGTTGGATGGGGCATTGAACCCCCTGGTCAAGTGGAAGGTGTCCCTGCCTACGGCAGAGGGGTTGGAACAGAGTAATCTTTAATGTTCCTTTCAACCCAAACCATTTAATGATTCTATAATCCACTTCTTCTTGGCTCCAAACCCAGATGGCTACTTTGATAACTCCTTCCTAGTGTTCAGATAACAGCAAGAGTCAAGTGTTTCCTGCAAGGAATTCAAAGCTCTGAAAAGGGCAGCAGAAACTCCAATACTCAGAGTTTTGTGCTGCCCTATGAAGGCACCAACTTCTTTATGATATGCAGAGCCCAGACTACTGATAGTCAGCAGTACAAATTTCTCTGTGTGAAGGCAGAATGGTTCTCTGTACAAGTGATGTGCTTGTCTTGTCTTTGCTCAGCTCCTGGGAGCACCAGTGAATCCTCCTTTGCCTTCACAGAAACGTGGCCAGCATCTGCCTCGGAAGCTCCTCGGAATGTAAGCATCTCCTTTTCTGCAGCATACCTGGGCAGAGTGGATAGAAATGAGAGGTTATTGGCTCATCCCTACAGGGCACTTCCACTGCTTTTGTTTGATTGCAACAGAATATTGTTGATTATGAAAGAGCTCTTATTAAAGGGTGGTGGGGGGAAACCTGCTTAGCGTGCAAAAAGTACTTCCTACTGATGGAGGAAGAGCTTTAGCAACATCTGCATTGCCTTTCAGGCCTCTGGCCCCTGCTCAGACACCTCAGACTGCTCACATGTTACTGCAAACATGCAGGTATGACAGGACGTGGGGGAAGAGCGGAACTTGGATCACCTGGGAGCACAGGGATGCCCTGCACTTCTTGTGCAGCGGGGTTCAAACAGGCTGTCCTGCCAGACCTCTCTCTGTCTTGCTGAGTCCTCCAGCACATATTACAGGGTGACAGGCAGTAACAGCACCCAAATTTTATCAGGAAGACCAGCCAGCCAAGCCAGCCTCTGGGGAGACCTGCTGTGATGTACAGTCAGTCTGTGCTGTGGGAGTTCATACTGCTGTACGTGCAGGATGCAAGTCAGGGACCACACTGTGCTTCCAGTGCTTTTCCAGGCCTGAGATGCCAGTGGCAGATTAGATACTAACAGCTGGCATCAGAAAGAAGTTTAGCCTAAATAAAAACAATGGAAAAAGAAGGTGCATTTACTTATTGGTATAAATCCTTGACTAATTGCTGAATAAGCTGACAAGAAGGTGGGAGGGTGTGACATCAGGAAATATATTGATCATAGAAAAGTTCACCAAATAGTATTAAGCCTGAATAAACGAGATTTATCATAACCTCAGGTCCTTTGACAATCTCAAAAAATTTATTTAGCAGCATGGTTCACACATATGTTGCAGTGATTCTGCTTGAAACTTGTCCTGTATCTCAGATTAGGCTTTTGGTCTCAAATGTACTTTTCCTGCAGAGTTGCAAAACATATAAATGGCTTCTTGCTGCCAGTTCCACTAATGCTCATCTGCCTTGTGTTTGACAGAACACCTCTGTATCGCTTCCCAGTCAGCAGTATTCCGAAAATGGTCTGTACATTGGGATTGGGTCATGTGCAGTGCTTCTGGTCATCCTGATTTTGGCTCTGTTTCTCACTAAACGTAAGTACTTCTCCTAGGTAGTTCCAGGATTGCTCAGGTCTGTCCAGTCACAGCTGTGGCAGATGTCACATGTCTCCCATTTCAGGCAGTGAGCTGAGGTCTCTGGATTCCTCACTCAATCCCTGTGCTTTGGCTGCTCACACATCTCTCCCCCTATGGCCTCTGGGGCCCAGAACAGCAAGGTGTGAACGTGGCCTCCTCGTTTTGTGACTCTTTAGCAGCCAGACAACCCAGGGTGTGGTTGTGCCCTGCTCGTTTCCTCCTACCCATTCCGCAGTTCCCTGTTGTCCCAGTTCTTTCCTGAAGATAATTATTTATTTTTGAAGCCACTGCTTTACTTGCTTCTAATGGTTTAAAAAAATATTAATTTTCTTTCTTTTTTCCCTTTATTTTCATTCTGGATGGTCCTTAGAATACTTTTACAATACAAAGAAGACAGGTGACTTTGGAAAGTAAGTATTCTGTTCCTGCTTTTGCTGATAAGAGGTTGCAGAAAGAGAATGTCAGTATGCTGACCATTCCACCACAAACTTTGGCTTTCTTTTTTAATCTCAAGTTAATAGAAGGCATTGCAAAAAGAAATTAATAAGTTCTGCTACTTTTCATTTGTTAGTAAGCAAAAATGAGTAATAACTATCAGTTCATTGCATTAGGGAGCATGCAAAACCCAAGTGTGGGTTGTCTCTTAAGTGGAAAGATGATTCATTGTTGGTCATGATTAAATGGGGGTTTGTGCATGTTTCACTCTTTCCAGTGAGCTGGTTGATCTGCTCTTCTTGGGTTTATTGTCTGGTTTTTGTTTAAAACCATTATTTTTACTCTTTTGTGCAGCTTCATTGTGTTTCGGAGGCCACAAGGTGTGGGGAATCACAGTGCCCTGGAAGATGAGATCCATGCAGAGGAAAATGTTTATATCATACACTAAGGACTGCTTGCCTTTGTCATCACTGGGACATTAAACAGTTTGAAAAATGTTAGCTGCTCCCTCTGCTCAGCAGCTGAATGTGTCTGCACTACTGAAGCATTACTCACATCATTCTAATAAAACAAATAAAAGCTACACTTGTAATTAAAATCTTTATCAGCCTATTCCAGAAACAGAAACCGAAACCCTGCTGTCTTGAATGGAAATTTCCATTTCCTAAAGAAAGTTACCATTATATTTATTATCTGCTTCAAATTCTCACTTCCTTTTTGGAAAAAAGAGGAAGTGCCAGAAGGGCAGAATTGACTTCGCTGTGGGTTCTGTCCTCCACCTACCACAGAGTCTGTGCCATCAGAGGGCAGAAGCAATCTCACAGCTGCTGTGACAAGCCTGTCACACGGGAAAACCGGGTAGTATTATTAATTTAATACACATTTATTTGGATTTTCATTGAAGTCAGGTATAGCCAGTCCTGGTAACAGCTCAGCAATGCAATATACTAATTCCTGTCCACCAGCAGTTAAATCTGGGGGAGCTATGGATGCTCACCCCTCATGGGATGACCTCGGAGCCTACAGCATCAGTACTTCCATGTGCACAATATTCACAGCTTGTGTTAAGAGAACTATGACTAAGTGTGTTTTTCTCTACAAAACACATCACTTTTTTTCTGTGGTTTTCTCCTCGGGCCCACCTATACCCTGAGAAGCCCTTGGGGTGGAAATTCTCACTTCCAGGCATCTAAAACAATTGAACAAATCATACCCACTTTGTAAAGTTAATTAAATCCTCTTAGCTTATGGATTGCACAAAATACCAGTTTGAAGCTGGCCTGCCTTCCCACCCCTCTAGATATCAAACAACTAATTTATAAGAATGCTGAATGTATTTGATGGATTTTAGCCCATAAATACAGAGAATCTGTGGTCAAAGTCTTTTCCTCCATTGCTCCTCAGTTAGTGATGTGTCTCAGCTTTTACTCTCTGCAAAACTAAACTTTGGTTTACTTTAAATAAAAAACTGGAGGCAGTCCCATGAGTATGAATCAAACCCTTGAGCCTTGTTAAGCAGGAGACATAACACCAAAATCATCTTTGAGTGGAAGAATAACTTTCATCAGTTGTTTTTAGGAACACATTTTAAACAGGGGCTGGGGACTGAAAGAGCAGAAAAGCAGCAGAGGCAGGAGAGAGACCAACTCTTACCAAATACTGGTCAATACTTTTTTTTCCCTGAAGCCCATCCCAAGCAGCAGTGTGGAATTATCTAGTGCAGGCATCGCTGTCACAGGGAAGATTCACAGATGTACCACAAACTTTTTACCATTAAGTTAATTTTCAACTTCAAAATCATTTTCAACTGTCTAATGAGGCATAAAGGCACAATAATTAAATCAGTTGGTATTTATGTCAACAGCTGAGACACTTTGAGGCCATGGTCTGGTTGTATTTAAGGGGAGTTGGGCTCAGTGGAGCAGTTACCCCTCTCTCTCCCAGCTGGTAGAGATGGGAGGGCTTGGGCAGGCTGGCGAGGGGACTGGTTCCCCAAGAGTCCTGGGTGAGGTGGGATCTTGTAGGTGAGTGTGCTTGCAAATAGTCACAAAGGAGGGAAGAAATGGAAAGCAAACTGGGACAGGTGGCCCTGGTGTGTTTTGTATTTCACTGGTGCTGTGTGTTCTCTTGGGGCTGCCTGTTGCAGCAGGACTGAAAGTTTGAAAATGTGGAGGTGGGTTCATGGCTGACTGAAGTGCCCCATGTGGAAGCACAGCTTTTACTGATCCCAAGAACAGGAAAATCATGGACAAAACCAGCTCTGCCATCTTCTGTCTGCATGTCACGTGTAGCTTTGTGTAAGAAGGTACCAAAACTAGAAAGCACCTGCTGGTGTTAGACTGTATTTTTGCCTTTGACTATTAATTACTAACCTAAACTCACTGCCTCTGCTGGAGACATCGCTTTTCTTCTGCCTGGCAGAGCATGTTGCTGCTGTGGGCTCTAGCCCATGACTGGAGATGGAGGAAGTCTGGTCTGGTCTCTGAACTAGATCTCAGAAAACATCTTCAGCAATTTCTGCTTTCTGCAATTTTATGAGATTGGTCTCTACTGAGGTCAGAGTTAGACACTTGTAGGGTTTCCAAAATCATCTGACTGCAACCATGCCTGCTCTTACAGGGTTTGTGGGCCATCTTTAAGACTGCTAATCATGAAAAATGCTTGTCCATAAGGGGTTTTTTAATATAACTATTCCAGACTAATTCAGACTAATTATTGTATCAGCAACTTTTCCATGTAAAGTAAGGTTCTAGAATATCTGGTAACTGAAATCTTGAATAAAGTCTCCTTTCTGCTGTGCAGTTACTTGCTAAACAGACTTTGCAAAGACTGCAGAGCAAGAACTTTGCAGTATGATACACACAAACCCACGCAGGTAGAAGCTCCCTGTGCTTTTTTGTTACTTCCACTTGTGCCAGTGGATCTTGGAACAGGCACTTCAAAACGAGCCCCAGGTGGCACTTGGAACCTTTTCACACATTAAGAGATTGTCCAGCTGCACAAACTGGCAGCACATTGACCTGATGAGGCTGACGAGCTGCAAACTGATTTTTTTTGAGACAGCTCTCTGCCTTTCCTTTTCTACCTGCAAGAATCCACTAGATAGCAGTACAGAAGCAGAAGGCAAGCCATGTTTTTCTGGTTCTTCCCAGCACACTTGGACTTTGGATGGCCCTTTTCAATGCACTCTGCTGCATTTAGCCCAGTCTTGCTGTAGCAACAAAGCTGATACAATGCTGTGTTCATCCATTCCTTCCTTAGTTGCCTGGAATGACCAATTCTGTTTGGACAAGCTTCCTGGAAATCTGTCACTGAATAAAGACCCAAATTTGTCCCCCAGGTGAGACTGAGCTTCTCCCTGCACTGTCATCATCTGGACATCAGCTCACAGCCACTACTTAGTGGTAATTGGAGAAATGAGGATCATTGTAGGGAAGAAGTCTCCAGGATATTTATGCACCAGGTTTCATTAGTTCTGTTCACAGAACAGCTGGGGCTGTGTGTAAATGACATGGTATGAACTGTACCTGGCAGAATATGGCAAATAAAATATTTTACTCGTTGCCTTAACTGCTAAAATTTTGTTTGCTGTTTTCAATGCTAGCAAGCAGAAGAGTGATATTTTCATGGGCTTAACTGCTCATGATAAGCTCAAAATCTTGTTACTAAAGGTGTAATGCCTGGTTAAAAGCCCATCATTTTATCATTTGAACTTGGAATTGCATTCTCATTTTGCACCATGCTACATTTATTTGCACAGAATTTTGTCTGTCTGAAGTTCTTCATTCCTGAACTTAATGTCCTGAATTACTTTTGCTTTAGTACTAAGCTTGTCCAGAGAAGAACTTCCAGAGAAGTCCTTTATTAATTGGGCAGAAAGTTAAAAAGCAGTCAGAAAGAGTAAAAAATATTTGTTGAAGATGATGTTGCAAATCTTTGGGAAGGATGTGGTTTTGGCAAGGAAACATTTGTGGGACTTCCTCCAAGGCTGTCTTTGCAAATAGAAAATAAGGACATGGGGAAAGAGAGGGGTCTTCAAGCAGAAGTCAGAATCAGGGGAAAGGAGGGATTAAATGAATGTAACTGAAGACAAAGTCAGAGGTGGAGACTATGCCAAATGTTTAGGAGTGTAAGAGCACAGAATGTGTTCTTGCTGCTCAGCACTGTGGAAGAGTAATGAGCCTTAAGGGATCTATGGAATGGCAAAACAAATAGAATATTGAAGTTCCTGGTGGTAGTACCATGCTGAGTGTCTTGGAGGAAGACAGGAGAATAGGATGGCCTGTTCCAGTGCTTGACCACCCTCTTGGTAAAGAAATGCTTCCCAGTGTCCAGTCCAAACATCCCCTGGTAAGCTTGGAATCATTCCCACATATCCTTGACTGAGTACCAGGGAGAAGAGATCAACACTTCCCTGTCCATGTCCCTTCCTCAGGAAGCTGCAGAGAGCTGTGAGGTTTACCCCTCAGCCTCCTTTTCTCCAAACTAGACAAATCCAGAGTCCTCAGCTGCTCCTCACAGGACATGCCTTCCAGCCCTGCCACCTGCTCTGTTGGTCTCCTCTGGGTGCACTCAAGTACCTGAATGTCCTTCCCACACTGTGGGGCCCCAAAGTGCATACAGTGCTCACACTGAGGCTGCACCAGTGCTGAGTACAGCAGGACATCCCCTCTTTTGACCAGTTCCCATCCGGAAGTGTAGGAAAGAAACAGTCGCAGTATGTAAAATCTGGAAATGGAGAAATGAGACTCCAGTGGGGCTCACTCAGTGACTCTGGAAAGGATAAGAGCTACTTTTCTTCCACTTGCTGGCCTGGAGTCTCCATCAACTAAAATGACCCATTTTGTGCTGTTTCACTGGATTCTGATACAGATCTTTATAGGTGAGTCTTCACCTGCTTTTTGTGTGCTTGCTAAAAAATGCAAAATTTTGTAAAATGAAAACCAACAGTTACTTTGTGGAAAAAAAAAAAGTTGAAAAAGATCATAATTGTATACGGAACTTGAAAAGTTTTCTTAATTTACTGAGTTAACACTGATTGAGATTTGATTTTTTTTTCAATTTTTAAAAATGTATGCAGATTCTTCTGTGTGTAGAATCATAGGCTTGGTTATTTCCGTTGTTCTCTTCCCTTGCAGAGCTCCTGAAGGATGAGAAGGGTTTTTGTTACCTCCTTTTTATCTTGGCTCAGTGCTGAGAATGGGTAGCCAGTGAAATGCTTCTTTTCTGTTTATCAGTCATATCCTCTGCAATTGGATCAGAATAGAACCTTCAATAAGAAAGAAAAAAAAAAAGATAGGGCAAAGATGCCAAGTATCTTTTGCAAAGTAGGAAAATTATTCCAGAAATAGATCAAAGGGAAAAAAATTCTTTTTCAGCCAGCTGTTTCAGCTGGAGGATATATGTTTTTGTCTATCCAATGACCAGTCTGTGGGAGATAAGATCACTATGATAGCAACTCCTGGGGTTACTGCTTAATGCCAGCTGTCACTGAGGGTGGGTTCAAGAGAGACTATATACAGATAAGTGTGTGATCTGAACAATTGTGAATACCCTTTCCTATTTTGGATGATATATTAAACATCTGGAGCCCGTTTCTCTCTCACTGATGAAGGACTTAGAGCAGCAAACCTCACAGATTTCAGCAGGACCACTCAGGCAGAGCTGATGCTCAAGGTGCTTTGGGTCAAATCTGGAGGCCTGGAGGGTAACTGCCATGGAGAAGGACAGGATTCCTCTCACAGTAAGACCAGTGTGTCACAATATAACCCTCTCCTTATTTCAAAGACAGTCCTATTTACTATTTCCTCGGGAAAATCTGTGGAAGAGGCTTTAGCCGAGAAGTAAGTTTTTCAATCCTTGCAGAGGCTCATCCTGTTGAATCCAGGCTGCTGCAGTACTGGAGCTTTTCACACCAACCTGCAGTGCAGGCAGATGTTGGCAACTTTGGCTTCACGGAAATTAAAAGAGGATTTGAAACTGCAAAACCTGTAACGTTTTAGCACAATGCTACTGGGAAATTGCACTGGAGACACTCTGGTGCCTCGTGTCTTCCCTATTCTTCTTTTAATTTGTTTACTTAGTTATTTATTTACTACATTCAGGCCTCTGCTTCTTTCAAAGGGAAGAGCAGGCAAATTTTCATTTATTAAAGAGCTGGCTAATGAAGCTACTTTTGTGCTGTGCAGAACTGGGCTGAAATAAGAGCAGAAGATGAAACCATTTCTCCACAAGAAGCAGCAACCTTTATTCTAGCAACAGTTTTAGCTGGTTTTACACCTATCATTGTTGGGCTGACTTGAAAATAGGTGTAAACCCACTCAGTGACTAACCCCTTGCTCCCACAGAAATACTTTCAAGGTCAAGTGGATGTTTTGTTCTGTGACCACAGAAAGAGGCTGTTTTTTGCTTTTCTGTCACAAGGCAAATGAACCTACCTTTTCTAAGGATACCATGTCGCAAAGCCTTATCCTGTATTCAGGAATTCAGTTTCTGGCACATCCTACCTTCATTTCACTGCAAAAACTTCTGCCCTTCACACCATATTGCCTGTTGTTTTGTCTGCCTCTATTCTTTTAGCATTTGGAGCTGTGGAAACCCAAACAAGTTGGCTTATCTTGCCAATGGGATAAGCAATAATGAATCTGAAATGTCATCCCAATAACAAGTCGTGAGGCAGCCTGCCACAGACTAAAACCTCACCTAGGGAATAGTCCATTAAAGACAAAACAAAAGAGACATGGACACAGTTGGAAGCATCTGTTTGCTATCTGGGAGTCATGCCAAAAAGGAAAGGCATTCAAACAGCTGGCAAAATATAAATGTTTGGCAAACCAGGGCCAAAGCTGGAGATAACAGCACCAGCAACTGTAAGCCCTCTTTGGGGTAAGCAAGCTGGCCATGAGACATCAGATCTGCAGGATGATCCTCTTGCTGAAGCAGAGGACAGGTCTGGTTGCTCCCCAGATCCCTCAGTTCCTGCTCCACCATATGTAAAGGATGAAAAGGGGACAAAGGCAGAAAGGTAGGACAACTAGATGCATGTGGACCATAAAATATTCATCCCTGTATGGGAAACTGTTTTGTAGAGTGCCTTTCATAAAGAAGAAATCTCTTTTGGGGTAGTCTGGGAACTGCACAGACAGTTAAGAGGGAACAATCTATAGTAAAGATTCAAACCAGGTGCCACGTTGGAAATTGGCTGTAAACACCAACTAAAGCTGGCCATTAAGTAAAAGGACATGACAAGCATGTATATGCTCTTTTAAACATCAGTGTAACACTGGCAGCTAAAGCTTCTGTGTACACAGTGCTTAGCAAGGTAAGTGGGAGGGTTGGCAGGGCTTGCTCAGTGCACTTTCTGAGAGCAGGTTCACATAGACAGATCCCACTGCTCTGCCAGCTTAATTAGGCCCTAATTTCACACATGAATAGATATTTTGGAGCCTGCTTTGGAGACTGTCAATGAAAGGCAACTGTGACAGCATTTCTTTTTTGAAGGAGATGATGGTGAGGACTGAGAGAACCAGATGTCTTTCACAACATGTTTCTGAACAACTTTCAAACAGCCTCCGAGGCGAGGAGATGGGATGGGAGCAGAGTTCCCAAAATCCACTTGCATAGGTCTGTCTATGCTTGGGCTGCCAGCGACAGACCTCAGCTTCACTCTGTGAGTGATGTGTTCCATGAGCCTCCCTCCAGCAGCTGGCTGGGGCCAGAGCATGGGGCCCTCCAGCAGCAAGCAAAGCCCGTGAGCTTCTGGCTGTTGCCTGTAGTGCCCGAGGCCAGGAGCTGCCACAGGCTCCAGGAGAAGCCCTGGGGCATCAGAAGCGTGGCCTGCCCGCAGGCAGGAGTGTTTCTTCACCTACCTCGTTGTGTTGTGCAGGTAGAGTAACTCATTGGAGGCTGACAGCACTCACCTTTCCTTGTTCTCCCTTGGCAGCACACACAGCATCCCAGACTGTTGTCGGAGGAGTGACAGGGCAGTCTGTCAGGCTGCCTTGCGGCTACCGGGTGACTCCGCGTACGGGCGTCTCCGATGTGTGCTGGGGCAGAGGCTCCTGCCCAAATTCAAAGTGCAAGAACACGATTTTGGAAACCCGTGGGAGTAGGGTGAGATTCAGAAAATCTCCGAGATACGACCTCCAGGGCTCTATTTCCACTGGAGATGTGTCTCTCACCATTGGGATGGTGGAGGCAGGAGATGCGGGTTTATACTGCTGCCGTGTGGAGATCCCGGGCTTGTTCAACGACATCAAGAACAACATACGGCTGGTGGTGGCCAGAGGTGAGTCTGGGGACCCTGGTGATACAGACAGCAGGGAGAAACCTCTCCCTGGATAGCAAAAATCAGAGCTTATGTGTACTTTGGTGTTTCTGGGTCGTTTTTTGTTTGTTTGTGTTTGTTTGTTTGGTTTTTTTTGTTTGTTTTCCAAAAGTGTTTTTCCTAAATTACATAGTTTTCAAGGGAGATCTGCAACAACTAGTTGCCAATTTGAGTCACATTTAATGTGCAGTTTAGATGGGAAAATAAAAAAAGGACTTTACCCTTTTTTTTGCCTTTCAAATTAAATGTTTCATTTCTCATTGTGTAACTATATTTGAATTTTTTAAAGATGATGGAATTATAAGAGGGACTTATAATTTGAACCCTTCTTGGAATGAAATTCAGTGTTTCATTTGGGGTTCACCCCAACACTGAAAAGACTAGTTTCATTCATGCCATAAGGAGGCCCACTGTGATGACCCATCCTTAAGGGTGCTTCCTTCCCCTTAAGGGTGGGTTGTCACACCCACATATTTGGAAATTATGTCTCAGAGTCCTGAAGGACTTCTTCCCCTTCCTATTGTTTATCTGAACTGCAAGGATAAAGCAAGGTCTTCCACAGGAAAAAAGAGATGATACCCACTCTCCATGCTGCAGAAAGCCAATTTTTTGGGGACTTTTACAGTGTGCAATTGGTACACACAGAGCAGGTTTGTTTGGCTGTTGTAAGCAACACAACAGGAAAGTGGGTGAAAAGTGCTACAATTGCATGTCTGCCCCTGAGTTTGAGATAACAGAATCTGTTTAAAAAAAAGGGCTGGTTGCAAAGATTAGGCAAGAAACTCGTAGCTGAAAAATTGAGCTATTTTATTTATTTTGTTTTTATGAGGGCATTGAAAAGCAGAATCACAAAGTTTGCAAGGTTTTGGGTTCTACCATGCAGACTTCTGGCCCTTCCACTTCTACAATAGGATCAGGATGTGAGTGTTTGAGACCTAAAAAAAAAAAAAAAGGGGGGCAAATCTGTAAATCTATGAAATTTGCTGGTGGGTCATGTCTTCTGCTAATGAAGCTTTCTGAATAGTGACTCTTCCACCTCTGTTCTCAGTGTCTGAGTAGCGAGGTAATTTCATTCATTTCTGGGTTGGCTTCTCTCAGTTGCGACTGCTCTGATCTGGCTTTTCTCTTGGCTGTGTTTTTTCCGTGCAGCCCCTCCAGTGATGACAACCACCACGAGAAAGGCTCCTGTTTCCCCTAAAGGTTTTAGAAAGACAACTTTTGCTCCCCAGGCAACCTCTGTTCTTCAGCCAACAGCACAGACCGCTGTCCTCCTGACAACCACAACCACCGACTCTCCAGATGTAACTACACTGGAGACCATTGCTCCTCCAACAATTCCTGTGACAGAAAAAGCTACTTTTCCAGTAACTATGATGACAAGCAGTGCTCTCCCACATTCTTCAGCTATCTCCCATGAAGATGACATGTTTTGTGTCACAGAGCCTGGTCCCGTTCCTGGAAGTACGGAGGGTAATCAGCACCAATCTTTTCCCTTTTCTCTGCAGCAGAGATGATCTGTGTGAGTGTGACTCTGTCATTATAGACACTCTCCAAATATGTTTGTAGCTGGGAAGTTTTCTCTGAGATGCCTGTAGGTATGTCTTAGTGGGTTTAAGGAAACAGAGGTCAGGTGTTGTGGATAATGCTAAACTGGCATGAACAACCAAGGTAGCAGAGGGTCAGACTTCATTTAGAGGAGTTTTAACAGCCTAGAGAAATAATGTCACAGAAACCTCATGAAGTGCAACAGAAGTAAATGCCCAAGTCCAGCTTCTGAGGTGGAGTAAGAGAAATTCACCTAACTATGCACTAATTTTTTTCTTGATTTGGAAAAGACAATTAAAATGATTTGGTGAAAAGGTTAATTTAGAGTATGTTCTGTTTGAGCAATAAAGTCAGTGAGAATTCAAAACATGTTAAAAATTGAGTATTTACATTCTTATCTCATGTGACATAATAGAAACAAGGCTGGTTCTATTATTAGTGATCAGAGTGACCTGTTATCATCCTAACCATTCCTAGGTTGCTACTTTATCTGCATTAGTGACTTCTTTTCCATGGATAGATGACTGCACAATTTTGAATGCCATATAGAGACCCTCCTAATCAGTAATCTTTATAAGCATTACTCTTCACTTTGTTTCAGTGACTACTGAATTCCCAAATATACTTCTGACTGAAGAGGGAAGTACAAGTGCTGACACCTCTGTCATGATGGAAGATGTGCCAAATGCAGGTGAGTAGGATACATTGCAAGGTCAGAAGTTGCTGGTTCAGAGAAATTAAGAAGCTGGCATAAATAAAAGCACTGATTATTTCTAAGAGTGTACCAAACACATACTGCTAGTTATTCATTGCATTTGGCTGTGAGGGGTATCTGGGGTCCACACAGAAATTGTTTGAAATCAGGATGTAACAACAGCTGAGGAAAACATGTTTTTATGCCTCCAAAGAAAGATTTTGAGTCACTCTATCTCAGGTATGAGAGAAGTTAAAAGCTGAACTTTTCAACATCCAAGCTGAATTTTTAGATATCCAATTTGTCGTCTCTGTGAACCCTTTGGTGGCCTGGTGGAAGGTGTCCCTGCCCATGGCAGGGAGTTGGAAGTAGATGATTTTTAAGGTCCTTCCCAACCCAAACCATTCTATGACTCTATGACTTGTGACCACCTGATCTCCCCACCTCCGTGTGACGTTGCGGGTGCCTCGTGCGTACGAAGTTTCCTTTGGCCGCGGTCTTTGTCACCGCAAGCCTGTTACAGAGAGATGCCTTGGCAGTGACTCATCTGGTCTCTGGTACATTTTGCTCAGATGGAGACTCCATGGTTGTTCTCTTGTCAGATCTTTAGAAGCACTACTCATTGTGGTCTTTCTATTCAATAGGGTGTGACCTAAGGCATAGGGGCTCTCCTGTCGTAGGGTGTAAGCCGAGGTTTTGTTTCACTAAGCTGAGTGACTCCTCTGTTTTTAAGATGCTGCTTAACACTGGGTGCTTCCTGGTGCTTCAAGTGCTCCAAATACTTAAATAGTTCAGCACCTTGCAGCGTGAGTTTATGATGATGATCCAAAGCTCAAGCCTAGGTTAACTTTTGTGTGCTTAAATTCACTAGTACAAGCAATAGATTAGGATCATAGGGTAACAGCAGAAAAATTTGCTGTGAGAGTTCTTGAGTTTTCCTGTAGTTCATCCTTCTTTCCAAAGCTTAGAAAACTAGAAGTAAATTATTCTTAATAACCTAGATTAAAAAAAAAAAAAAAAAAAAGAAAAAGCGCATCATCTTCATAGAGCTTTCTTACATCTGCGGTAAGTTATCTGAATGTAAAAATGTTTCCTGTGGTAATGCAGCTTTCAAAACCTGTAATCATCTATGTCTGACCACAATTAAACTGAGGCAGTTCCTGCACTGAAACATATGCTTTTTTACTACCTCTGCTGTCCATGTCATCTTGTCATGTTACAGAAGTGAGAACTCCTCAGCAGACAAGTTTCTACCATCTTCTACTGTCTTGCTTCATGTGCTGCCCTCTTTCTTGATGAAGATTGACATTTCCCAATAGCTTCCTCAGCTACCACTTGTGGTGGAAACTGGTTGTTCTCTTTTGGTGCAAGGTGCTTTATTTCTCCTACTCAGAGTCAGATTTTGCCCTCCTCATTCCCTGAGAGTTCATTACTCCTTGACTGAAGCAGTGACAGCCACAGTAGCCCTCACTCCTTCAGGTGACTGTGCCAGTAACAATTTCAATCTCTTTCATTTTCAGTGATTTCAGCAAATTCAGATGGCAAGGCTGAGCAACATGATGATAGTGGAGATAAGGTAAAACTTCCTGTAAGTTTCAAGAGTGTTTGAGTGGAAATCAGAAGGACAGCAGGACATGATAATGATTTTCTATGTATTCATACTAAAAGGGACAGCTTTTGCAAACAGTAGCTTGAACTTTTGTTTAGAAGCTCAGGAACCATCTGTTCATTTTTCCAGTGGATAGAGCCAAAGCCTGAGAGCATCCCATCTGTCTTGGACACTTCAGAAAAAACTCATCCCCCTGACACCTCTGTAAGAGAGGCAGAGGTATGATCCTTGGGATGTGACCAGGCAAAAGGCAATTTAGGAGGGTGTTACACTTCCCTGTGTCTAATTAAGAGAAGGATGAGGGTGAATAAGCTCCTACTTCTACTTTTGACACTTTATTAAGTAGTGCATGTTAAGTGGGATGAATCCAGTTTCAGCATTTCAGAAGAAGATTTATTAGATACTGAACACATTGTTTATCATGATCAAGTTGACGTGCCTTCTGCACTTTGTACAACCAAGCTCAGAAAAGCCCAGTGCAGATAGTTCAGTGCTCTCAGCCAGTAGTACAACTCCCTCCTGTGTGAATAGCTCTGAAGTAAACAGGTTCCTAAAGCCTTTTCAGTTTTTCTCTTCTCCCTTCCAGTTTCCCAGCTCTGTCATTCTCATTGCCTGTGTCATAGCGGGGACCGTTCTTTCCGTGCTGATGTTCTCACTGTTTTGGAAACGTAAGTATCCTTAAGCACATAATTGACAAAGGGTTCTAATGCTGGCCAGGTGCACATGTCCCTCTGTGTCTCTGGTTAATCTTCTGGGACCTTTGCCATGGCTCTTGTGACAGTGCTCTGTTCACTTCGTGGGCGTTGCTGTCCTTACTCCAGCACTGTGTCACCACAAGGAGACCAGGGAGCATGGTTTGGTGGGGATGCAGCAGGAGGCCTGTGCAAAGAACCTTTTCACTCACTTTTGGCAGGTCTGGCTCATCTTGTTGGCTCTTTCTTTATAGTTCAGTGGTCCCATAGTTTCCTGGAATTGCTCCTGAAAGACATTGGTGTAACTGGAATCAGAATGAGAACCTTTCTTTCCTTCTTAGCCCACAGAAATTTTGCAACTTGCTATCATTGTTTTTCAACTCATTTGACAGATACAGTAGAATTATAGATTTTGTTTTGCCATTGTGACATTAATATTATTTTGCTTCTAGGTAAACAAGTAAAGAAACATATAATAAAAAGGTAATCCATTTTGTAATTTCCTATTAAAAGTTCTAGGGTAATTTTTCTTAGAGACAGGAAGGTATTGGCCAGTGATTGTAATGGGTGTAGTATTGGCTTGGGGTGCTGACTACAGGAAGCTTCAGATAATTTTACTGCAGAAAATCAAACAGTGATTCCTGGATACTGCTTCTCTACACCACTAGAGAACTTGAGCAAGTGGTACTTGTATAGTGACCTCAGCTGCTTTATTTTTGATCTAATACCAGGGACTGAATACCTGTGCAGGTGTAACTGATCAGTTCATGTCTTCTGGCTGATCTTGAAAAAAAAAAAAAAAAAGGATTTTCTGTGGACAAACCACAGTGTTGTCAGTAAAATATCATCCCTTTTTCAATGATAGATGGTCCCTCACTGCATACTCCACCTAGGGGATAGGGATTGGGGGCCAAGGAGATGCTCTTTTCTGAATCCCATGGTGGTTACCCTACAGTCATTATGAGATCTCAACAGCCCTTTCCTATCCATTGCAAGCAGGGTAAATGCTTCTCTGATGTAAAAAGGGGGTGTTGCTTCATTTCATTTAGTGGACTCAGGAGCTTCAGTTTTCTGTTTCAGTGGGAATTTGCTGATGTTACAAATAAGAAAGGATGCTCTGAAACAACAGAATCCTTTTGCCCATCCATAGTGATCTGTGCTTCTCACTGCAGTGTTGGACCTCCAGAGGAGCAGGAGAAAGTTTTCAGTGGTGCTGAAGGAGAAAACAACATTTTTTCCCTGTGAAGACCTCCTACATTATCTGTAGATGCCATGGAAAATAAAAAGAGCCTGTTTCATGCTGCACTAAGAGATGCTCGTGAGCCTCCAAAATATCAATGGGTGTAAACCACAGGCCAGAGCTTCAACTATGAAAATTTAAAAAATTTTAAAAAATGCAAATTGTGCCATATCACCCTTAACATTCATTGCATAAAGAAGCTGATTTGAGAAAGGGCTTTATGCATTATTCATGGATGCTTCTGGCATCTGCCTTCTTACTAACACCATTTTGCACAATTGAATTTATTTTTCTCCATTTTACTAATGCTCTTCCTTGAATACAACTTATACTGTGAAGAACAGAAGAGAGAAGAAATTACATGGAAAGCTGCCTATCTTCAAATTGCCAAAAGGAAAGAAGAAATATCAGAAACTATGGTTCTTACTGCTTTCATGTAATCAACAGAAAAATTAGCTACAAGAATGCTGTGAGTTTGAATCAAAAATGCTGATTACTTAAGAGGTACCAATACTGTCTGTGATTCAGCATGTTTGAATGACCCTTAGAGATGATGTTAATAAACTTTTTAATTTACCACTGGCAATTGTATTTTTATGCCACATTCTAAGGCATATGAACAGGAGTTAGTTATTCCCCAGATGTTGAAATGACTGGTGTGCTATCCCAGCTCTCCAAAGAAGTACTGCAGTGTTTCCAGAGGTGGGAAAATGCCCAGAAGACCAACATGGAGGGAAATTTTTCTACCCTGCCCACACAAGCCCTCATACCACTCATTCCTATATCCATTAGTGAAGAGGGACTGGCCATGGAGGCTGGGGGATCACCTGTGGGATATGCTGTAGAGTTTTTGTGTATCTCCTGGGGGTCCTCATCAATTCTGCTGCAGTGACTGTAGGAATGGCATGGGAGAAGGTTCAGATCCATGACACTGTTTGTTCCCTCTCTTGCCTGGAGTTCACCAGGGCCAGCTATGGCACCTCTGGGCAGCAACAACTTGAAGTAAGAGCACATTGTAGGAACAGCATTTGATCAGAAGGAAACGTTGTGTGGTAGCTCTGGACTTCCCCACCAGTCATGCTCAGGGCTGTGGTGAGACTTTTGGATCTTCCAGCATCTTCTCACAGGCTGTAAGCTGGGGGAGGCAGGGGAGGTTCCTCTTTGGGGTCCCTCTTAGTCTTGCTTGGGTTCAATATCCTGGTCTAGTGGTGCTGTGGGAGGCAGAGGAGAGTCCCCAGAGAGTGGATGTGGCTCCAGGCTGGGGTTGCCCAGCTGAGCCCTGTGAGTGTCACGCTCTGGTCACTGGCCCAAAACACAGCACGTGCTGAGCCCAGGGCCTGGCACCTGGCACTTCTTCTAGGCATGAATCCAACACAAATCTGAAAGGAATAAAAGGGAAAAAAAAAAATCCCCAACAGTTTTGACATACTCCTTTGAAAAACCCAAACTTTTCTTTTTGCCTTTTTTCCCAGGCCAATGAAACCTGCTAATTAAGGCAGCAACAGCTCCACTGCAGCTCCAATTGGCAGAGCTGGGCCAATCCTTTTGCTCTTATTAATTAGCTCTTCACTAATGACTCCTTTACAGCAGAGCTGGCTCTCACTTGGGAAGGTTCCAGCATATTTGCTGTGGTGCTGGCTGGACTTGAAGGCTCTGTTTTTGGGGAGCTGCACAAAGGGAAGAAGAGATGGGAGCCAGCAAAGTGAGTTTGATCTGATCAGCCACGTGGAAATGCAGCCCAGAGATGCTGTAGCAAAGCTGTAAGTTCAACCTGTGTCGCTGAGTGTTTTTATTTATCTTTTATCCGCCCCAATTACTGAGGCAGAGCTTTAGGTTTAGAGTGGCAGTTGGAAGCAAGGAATCTGGGAGGGTTACATCTAAATGAAAATGCACTGAAGTTATTTGTGAGGAACTGACTCTGGCTGTCAGTATGTTCAGGGAAAGGTTAAAGGGAGCCTTTTAAAATGTAGCTGGAGGAAACAAAAGTGCTGTTTTCCAAAAGCAACAGAAGACCCAGAATGCAGTCTTTGGGTCCAGTGGAAAAAACCTAGATGAAAGCAGCGCATTCTTAGAGAGAAAAGGCTGTCAGAGAGGATGTCATTGGCATCTGGAAATGCTGGTCTTTATTTTTAAGACTTTTACCTCGAAAGGCAAAGAAATGCACTTGAGTAAAGATAAAGCACTGCAGCCAAGAAAACCCTCTGTTAACAGATTGAAACAATACACAGGGCAAAGGAACAAAGTTGTTTGCTTCAAAACTGCCATGCCTTTCCCCAGAACTCCAGTGCCCCCATCGTGACCTCCCACCACCTCTCAAACTTCAAAGCACCAAGACCTGAAATTACTCAGGTTTGAGGCCTCTCCTCAGCACTCTGAGCTGCTGGAGTTATCTCAGCATTTATGGACTTGACTGAGAGCCTGTGGCAGAGCAAAGTAGGTTTTAATATTTTCAGAGTCCATGTCAAACCTTAATGGTGTTGTATCTGGGGAGTCTGGCTCAGCTCCGTGGAGCAAGGTGGTTAATTAATGAAGGATTTAGCTTTTGGTCCAAGTAATAATTTTTACTGGCCCCCAGTACTTTATGGACAATTGTCTGTATCAAAATGACCGATTAAACAGGGTAAAGGAGGTCTGACTTGAAGAGATAATGACTGAACTACCTGATTAGTATGGAGGAGGTACAGAAAAGCAATTAAAAAGGGAGATCTGAATATTTTGGGATATGGGATTGACTAATGAGAAAACAGGAGGAAGTACTGAAAAAATAAAAAAAAAAAAAAAAGGCAAGTGCTGAGTTAGAAATACAAATCCTTTAAAGAGAAACCAGAGGAATGAATTAAATATCATTTTGAGATTAATAAGAGACCTCTCTTAATAGACTTTATTGGAGCTGACTGTTCTGGTGGTCCCTTTCCATCTCAGCAGCACATTTCATTATGTTTCTAGGTTTGTTTCTTAGCCTTAATGTGCTTTTCTAGGCATTTTTTAAGGTTAATATAAATAAATCTCTTGGTTCCAAAGGTGAAATGTAATTGGGGCTTAAGAAAGAGCAAGCAGAAGGGAAGAATGTGGCTGAGAATACAGGAAATTAGAAATAAGAATAAATAGCATCGTGGGACTTGGGGAAAGAATAGAGATAACCACACAGTGTGAGGTGAATGCATGAAAAAGTGGAAAATTTTAGCCTAGTACAAAGAGGAAATGGGATGTGTTGCTGCAGACATGACAGCAGATGGCAAAATTGAGCTGCAGAGACTGAACAGAGAAACATCTGGAGAGATTAGAAAAGGCTGTAAAGGTGATGCAGATTTGCTGACATCAAGCAGAATAAATGCAGCCTATCCCAGTGATGATGGAGGTGCCAGCCAGGAGTTCATGGATGGCTCCAGGGAAGTCTTTCAGGACACTTGGCCTGGGTTCCAGCTTATGTGTCCTCTAGCAACACAGTTTCTTGCAAGTCTTAGTAAAACTCTGGTTTTCTTTTGCTGCTTGGGCCGTGGTGACCATGCACTTCTTGGTTTCCTCTTCCCACCACTGTCTGGTCCCAGCTGGGAATAGTGTGGTTTTGGTTTCTCTTACTAACTTAAAACACAAAACCCAAGACTCAGCAGTTCCCAATCACGCTGTGGAAGCAGTGACCTGGGAAAGGAAATGTCAGCCCCAGCTCCTCCTGTAGCTCCTCTTGGCAGGTTCTCCCTCCTGTGATCGAGCAGGATGGGGGTCTTGGTGAGGAGCCCTCCAAAGGATCACTTTGGGGAGTGCTTGGAAACTAAGAGGAACACTGTGATTAAACTGGGGCTTCCCACTGAGATCCCTCATCTCCTCAGCCTGTAGAACAGAATCAAAGAATAGGATTGTAAAATCATTTAGGTTGAAAAAGACCTCCAGGATCGTCAAGACCTCCAGGATCACCACCTGGTCAACTAGACTGGAGCACTAAGTGACATATTCAGTAGTTCCTTGAATACTTCTAGGGATTAGACTTTACTGCTTCCCTGAGCAGCTCATTCCAATGCCTGACCATCCTTTCAGTGAAGAAATTCTTCTTGATGTTCAACCTGAACATGCCGTGGTGCAGTTTGAGGCCATTTCCTCTTGTCCTGTCCTTTGTTCCCTGGAAGCAGAGCCTGACCCCCACCTGGCTCCCCCCTCCTGTCAGGGAGTTGTAGAGAGTGAGAAGGTCCCCCCTGAGCCTCCTCTTCTCCAGGCTGAGCACCCCCAGCTCCCTCAGCTGCTCCTCATAGGACTTATCCTCTCAAGTCAGCTAAAGAGCTCCCAGTGGTTTGAAGCTGAGATAGGAAAGGCCATAAAGACACTGGGGAGACAGATGCAAACTGTGTGCAAAAACTGTGCAAAGACCGTACAAAAACTGATGGAGGGATTGGGGGGGAGGATGTTGGGAAGTGATCTTTGGTATGAGTTCACTGACTTTCTTTAGTCTTTCAAGCATTTCTCCAAGGGGAAGGGAAATCCTCTACTTCCCAAAATAGCTTTTGAGTTTTGATTTTTTTTTTTTTTCCCTAAGAAGAAAAGAAGATGTTTGTTCTTTGGCTATTTCAAAATGCAGGGGTTTTTTGGTTTTATTTTAAAGTATCTAGAAAAAAAGGAAGGTTTTGTAGCAATGTGTTTTGGGGTTTGTTTTGTTTTCAATACCTAGGAAAAGAGGTATGTGATAAGTAATCTAAACCAAGGAATAAATCCTGTTTATAGTTATGTTTTCTAAAACAAAAAATGTTAAGGCCCAGCTCTCCTCTCTCATGTACTGGTGTATGTTCTGTGGTTCTACTGATATTAGTGAACCTTGAATCCTTCAAGGTAACCCCTTCTCATGCTTAAATGTACATCTAATGAAGATTCATGGCTTCAAAGGTGCTCTCAAGCACCAGAGCTGGTGTCATTCTTAACTAAGATATCCAGTAGTTAATAAACATCACGCTATCATTTGCATATTTAATGTAGGGTACAGAATTTTATGGAGAAATCTATAGCTTTTAATCCAGTGATGAATCATTTATGGGATTTTGGATTATTCACTTTACACTGAATTAAGTTGTCTCTTTTCACCAAGTGAGCCTCCCCAGCATGGTCTGTGTCAGGGCCAGGCTGCACAGTGATGGATGTTGCTGGGATGAATTATTTATTGGGTGTTTTAGATCACTTGCCCAGCAGTGAACTAAGCCCGTTAATTTTAAATCTGTTCATATCCATTCCTAAGTGCACAAAGAGGTTTTCATGTACATGAAATTCATCTCTCTTTCTTCCTCCCACTCCCTCCAGTGCACTAGTGAATTACCTGTGGAGTTTGGGTTGGATTGGTTTTGGGTGCAAAGTTTTCTTCAGGGGATGCAGTGACTCTGCCCTGCTGTGAGGGACTGTCTGTCCAAGCCAGTTTTGGACCTGATGTGAAGGAGGTGTTTGTGTGAGTCCTTCAGTTCTCACTTGTGTCCTACTCTAAATGCTGTGGAATGGAAACAACTGTGATTTCTTAGCTTGTCATGCACATGGTGTAACCCTCCCCAGTCCCAGGGGGCTGTATCAATGGACCCAGTGTGGTGAGCAGGGAAACTGCCATAGGCT